TCCATGGCAACCCATGCTCCCCATAGCGTTTTTCTGTTGCAGGGAGCGACAAAAGCTAGAAGCCCAGCTCTCCGCTTCCATCAGCTTCAACAACATTTCTCTACAATCCAGAGCGAGAGGCAAATGCATGGCGCACACGAAAGGTTGTTCTTCTGTTCTTTAGTCCTCGTTTTTCGGCAAAATTCATGAACAATGCGAAATGTTTCTTAAGAAATGGTCAAATAAAATATGATTAAACTTTTATTCGGATTTATTATGTTAATTCAACTTTACTAAAAAATCCTAATAACATGGGAAAGACTCGACTATCAACTCGTAAATTATTTGAGATCCTGTTTGGTGACTAGGCTTGCATAGAGACCTTCTCTCGCCAACAATTGCTGGTGTGTTCCTTGCTCCTGAAAACCAGACAATTTTGAACTGCATTGATAAGTATAAATCGTAGTGGTTGTGAATATAGAATTCCCTATTTTTACTGGGTTCATTCCTGGAGTGTAAGGTGAGAATAGCTTGTCATACAAAACTGACCGCTATTTGCTTTTTGCATCGCTATGGGTAAAGTGGCACCTTCACCTTGAGCATGCGAATCGGTTAAAACATCTCAAGGATCGAATAATTTAGCGCTAAGCTGCTCCTGGGACGGCGAATGAAGGCACTACCCGATAAAGCAGTACGAGATGGAAAAAAGCACGGGGCATGGGCCGTCCAGCACAAAGTTACAGTATATGCCAAAGATGACGCACCCAAACGCCTGTGCCATTCTGTGAAGTCGAATGCCCGGGGCTTAGCAAAGAGGTTTGAGCAGGGCCAGCAGGGAAATTTCCAACGAGGGGGTCGTCCTTGTGATTTTTGGGTAGAGGAGGTCGTTATTTTGGAATTGTGGTGGCGGTGGAAGTCGAAAGAACCGTGTTTGTAAAGGATGTCGTTTTTCGGAGTGGTTATTTCTACTGACAATGAGATATGCTGAAGTGGATCCGTCTGTTTCGAGGAATCCTGGCAGCGATTTGGACTGAGGCAGGCGAGGAGGAGGCGAAGTTGTTGAAGTTGAGGTAGGTTCAACGATGTGGAAACCATTGGAGAGGTAGGGAGAGGGGTTTTATAAGGAATCCCCTTTGGCGTAGGAGCTCTAAATTTTTTGAAATTTTGAAATTGGCACCTTGACAGTTGACCCTGATTGCATGTCCCTGCGCGGTCCTTCGCTTTTTTTTCTCTTCAGAAATCGTGATGTTGCAAAAAGCGTATTTCTAAATAGTGGAAGGCTTTTAGAGCTGCGTTCATCCACTGAGCATGAGGCGGCTCAACCCATTGGGGCAGATAAGCGAACAAACTGATAGCAGAAATGAAACGAGTAATTAGCCAGCGCATAATTGTTAATAAGGACAACTTTACCTCAACCATTCCATCTTTTATAACGACTATATGATCCGCATTTTGGATAGAAGACAGACGATGAGCGATAATAACACAAGTTCGGCCTTGTCTTGCCTTCTCCAGCGCTTCTTGCACAACCTTAAATGACCGTCACTAATTCAATAATTTTGGATAGACACCAAATTGCTGCGTACCCGCTCGCTTTCAGTGTCCAAGGCGCTTGTGGCTTCATCTAACAAAAGAATTTTTGGGTCACGGATCACAGCTCGAGCGATTGCGATTCGCTGTTTTTGCCCCCCTGACAGCATACTTCCTCGCTCACCAACGATCGTGTCGTAACCCTGCAATCGACATCGAGACCGTATTCATGGAAAAGATAATTAATGATAACCTGGTTGGACATGGAAAAGCAAAGGGCAGATTATTCGGGTGCTATACAAGTGGGGTGGGCACACCCAGCTTTTCACGCATGTCAAGTGACTGCCCTCACCCCCACCCCCCTAGATTGGCTACACTCCCCCTGGCTCACGAACTCCCCAATTCTCGTGACAGTATAGTAGCGAGCAGCAGTCCCACTGACATACATTTCTGTTCAAAAAATGCGGCGTGCCCACCCTACTTGTATAGCACCAATTCGAAATAAATTGTACTTTGAAAAGGAAGATAAGCCAGTTGGGAAGGGAAAGTAGATCCTATGAGACTAACCAGGGAAAGGCATTCAACTTCCCATGGAACTTTGAGTTGAGACCCAGATATATCGATAGAGCTTCAAACGCTGATTACAAATATGGAAACTAAAACTGCAAAATGAACCTGCCAAGGAAGTTGTGAGCAGTCAAAGTGGAAGTAAAGCGTTGCATATGAACTGCTAGCCTCCGGGCTTTCATAGTCGCCGTGGAGTAGTGGTAGTGCTCTCGCTCTCCACCGGGAGGTCATGAGTTCTCTTCCCGTTAAGTGCAAATTTTGAGAGCACTACCACTACTCCACGGCGACTTTGAAAGCCCGGAGGCTAGCACGGTTCATATGTAACGCTTTTTCCAGCCAACTTTGACTGCTCACAACTTCCTTGGCAGGTTCATTTTGCAGTTTTAGTTTCCATATTTGTAATCAGCGTTTGAAGCTCTATCGATATATCTGGGTCTCAATTCAAAGTTCCATGGGAGATTGAATTCTTTCGCTGGTGAGCAGTAGTTTTTCTTTGCATAGAAAGGCACGCCTGATGGCGCCTAGCAAGGTCCTGTCCGCTTCAAGGTGGCAGATTCAGACTAGATTGGTCGAGTGAGGGGTTGCCACCTGCGGGGAGGAAAGTAGAGCAAGATGTGCACATCATCGGGGAATCCCGTCCATTGTAGAAATCAACCGGTAAAAAGAAAAGTCCGACTTCGGTCCTTTTCTGGTCGAAAATTCCTTTCCACGAGATAAACGCTGCGGTACGCAAGGGGAAGTCACGTACAGTACGTAGTTCGTGTACACGAATGTCGGGATGATTTGACAAGGCAGAAGCGCTATGGTTTTAGGAAACAGCATTGGCCACGCCCAACACCATTGACCCCGCCCCAAAACAATGGCGCTAGAGGAGATGGGTTATCTATTTTCGTTCTTGTCGACGACGGCCTTTCCTTTTTCAGTTACTGATATTAGAGCTCACATCCATGAGAACAACCTACAATCGTAAGAAATAATCATAGCAACCAATTCGTGCTATTATCTATCATTAGAGGCATACGAGGCTCTGAACACATTTTATGTAGCTTAGAAGTTTTGGGTTTACTCGGGGCTTAGGGTCGAACGTCCACCGGGAAAACTTCGATGATAGGAGGCGTACTTGACTGTTGTTAAGAGAAGCTGTATTGTATAGATCAGCGGTAAAGGCTTTCCACAATGAGCTCAAAAGGATTAATCCTTTCAAATCATTGGATAGAGCTGTCCACTGTAGTCGCAAATGTCTCTTCTCTGGACTCAAACTTACACGACAAGGGCTCTTGGGTTTCGAAAGTGCTTCGACCGTTTCCAGTATTTTTTTCGGAATATGCGGATGTCTGTGCCTTCTCAACCGTTGCGTTCACTTGCCTGCTCCATCTTCTTCGCACTCAATGCCTCATCGTCTTAGTACAGGTATTGCGAAAGCTCTTGTATTTTCACGGTCTGTGATGCCTTTTTGATATCTTATATGTTTTGTTCTATGTATTACAATCATCCAACCAAGGTTCGGGCATCAAGAAGGTACATGGTACACTCATGATTCGGGAATCTTATAATCGACCTAGAAATATCTCTGGAGCTCCATTTAATGGAAATGATGTTTTCTGAGTTTGCTACAATTTAGTTTATTTTTGCAGCAATTCTTACTTACTGAAGGCAATTTGACGATGAAGTTGTGGGCGTTGGCCAGTTTAGCTGCGTCTTCGATTTGAGCGGTAGTTGCTTCTTCAAAACCGTACGCAATATTCTCCCTGAAACGTTCGTGTAAGCAGACAAAAATAACGAGGGGTAATTTTCATACCTGATAGAATAATTGAATAGAATAGGCTCTTGGCCGACAAGGGAGATTTGTGATCGCAGATGCCTCAAGTTTAGTTCACGAGCATCCACTTCATCAAACAACTGTAAATTTTAGTGTTATATAGCCCTTCATTATCAAAAATACAACTCCTCCTTTATTCACAAATTCTCACCACCGCACCAGCCACTGGATCGTAGAATCTCTCGATTAGTTGGATGGAGGTGCTCTTCCCACAACCGCTGGGTCCAACTAGCGCCACAGTTTTTCCCGCAGGAATCTGAATGCCACAGTTTCAGTAACAGCGATAAGTAGATGCTACGGCTGGAAATAGCTGGCTACCTTTATAGTGATGCCTTTCAGTACCATAGCTCTTCGACTGACAGGATACGAGAACGTGAGCCGCGAAAAGTGAATAGATCCTTGCAACGTCTGCAAAAATCGATAATTGATTATACGGGGCTCGTCTCACTGCAGGGCAGAGCTGAGACTTACAGTATGTTTTCCTAGAGGGGAAAGGCTGTCAATTCGGGGTTTATCCCTCAGCATCTGGAAAAGAAGCGCAGCGGACAGTCGGGCACGGACGTATTCAGGGAAGTACGTGGCGAAGGCGATCAGCGACATCGATGCAGTGTTCAGTGCTTCAATTACCCTGAAACATTTGTAGGATTCTCATCAGAGGTCGTAAAATAGGGAAGAGTAGGAGCTTACTGGAACACTGTGTATGGAGAACAGATCCTTCTACGAACCAGCCAAATACCGTACCGATAGGCGATAGCAAAGTTGAAGGCCGAAGATGAAACGGTGTTACAAAACACTGACTGAGAGCGCCATAGGGCTAGATGATTTGAATAATAATACTGGAAACATGACAGAATAATATTTCATAGTAGGTAAAAATGACTTAGTGAATAAATGAATAAATAAGGAAATGGGCAGGTCGAAGAATATTCGTTCATAAAATAAATGAGTAGGTGGTGAGCGGTGGGTTAGCGTGTTTCAACGGTTAGGGTGCGCCACACCCTCAATTTCTACTCTAACTTCGCGAGGGTGATGCGAAGGTTGTTCTAATACATTTACTCTGCAACAGAGGTACATATTATGTAGATAAATCTTGCTTGAAACGGACCGAATTTGACCCCATTGAAGTGGTGCTTCTAACTATTGAGCCATCCTTATGAACAATGTTTGAAGAAAATTGCTTTGATTACCTCGAAATATTGCTCGTCTATGTGGACCACGCATTTGAGTGACAAATTTGTCTACAAACAGTTGTTCCTTTGTCAGATATTGGACTGTTTTATGCTGTTCTATTGCTTCGGTTGCCAACTGGAATCAAACATCATACTGAAGTCTGGAAAGCCAAGTTTGATTTGACATGAACAACTGACTGCTGTAGCTTACCCTTGACGGTTCCTCTGCTAGTACAGCGTCACGTTGACCACGTACTTTTAAGTAACGTGCGACGAGAGTTTGTAGAGTGATAAGAGCCTGAAAAGGTCGCGAAGATCGGCGAAGAAAAGCTGGTTGATTGTGAGGTATTTCTTACACCAGCAGTGAGAACACCGATCGGGGCCATAGCCGGGCCATAGGAAAACGCGATCGACGTTCCTCCAATCATCGACGACACAGCTCCAACGACATCGGCTAGACGTTGATCGATTGCCTTGGGAAGAAATTGATCAATTGCATTGGACAGAAAAAAGGGGTCAGAAGTATGGAAGCAGTGCTATGGCGAGTGACTTTCCATTTACACGGAGCCCGAGTCAAATTCCGGTGCGAATCTCGCCTGGCCAACCAAGCGTTTCCACACTCCCATTTCCCTATTTGATAGCACATTTGTTAGGGAAGATAAAAACGTTCAACTGCTTATTAGGACTCTTGTTCACAGTCTAGATAGCATTCATATGAAACTATGGTTATGAGTTGAAGCGAGGGCGTGGCGCACCCAAAAAAGAGGCACGAATTTTACCGTAAACTATATCCTTTTGCATAAAAACTCTGAGTAGGCCCTTAAAATCGTGAAAAGCCGCCATTATCCTTTCAACGCTTCCTTAGAACTCATTCCATTACGACGGGGATAGAACGGCCGGGATTGTCAGCTTGGTTACGTTCGCAGCGCTTATCGGGTAACACATGCACTGCATTTTGAAGCATTTTGGCGTGTCGATGAATGAATCGATAATAAATCTTACGCTCTGATATTTGGAGGCGTCGGGTTTGCGTAGTCTAGTTAGTCACTTTCCGATGCATGATTCGTGAGTAAGTATTCGCCATCCTGAAAAGGGTATAGTCGAAATCTTTATGAGCTTCATAATTATTGAGTCATACTCACTTGCTTTACAATATTTGTGAACAAAGGATAAGCGTAGTCTGTTTGTGAAAAAAAGATTCACCGATCCTCCCGAAAGAGATAGCCGGAAATCATCGTGCTGATGCCGGTTGAAACCCCCAGCAACGAGAACCAAATGGCATTCATAGCCGCTCCGTGCAACTTCTCAGAATTGCTGCCGCTTGTTAACGTCTGAATTTCAGATTGTGTTATCTATGGTGGTGACGTTCTCTTGAGCACCTACGCTCAACTATTTCAAAAAAATACTGGTCATTAACAAAACCTTCATAACAATACGCTTGAAATAATGTATGCTAGCTGAAGTTGGACAAATGGTGCCCCGGTAGCGTAACTGGTAGCGCACTTGCCCGGAAAGCGAGAGGTGCGGGTTCTAGTCCCGCCTGGGGCGAAAGTTTTGTTCACAACCCAGCATTCTTGTGAAACATTCGCAACCTAAGCTACGGCGTTGAAACAGCAGTTAGCAAACAAAACAAGTCAAGACTATTCTCTACATATTATCCTTAAAGGCAAGTCCCGGGATAAAACTGGTGATAAGAGCGCTTCGTAGTGATGACTGAGCTGCGGGACGGCCTGAAAGTGGAAGGAAAGCTAGAGAAATCTTTGGGATCGCTGAAATTAAGGCCTTAACCTTCAAAAGGTCGGATGTGGAACGATGGCGAGGCAGGGCGGTCAAAGAAGACAAAACACGCGAGAGAGAGCACGCCGATATCGAGGTGGGTGGGAAGCGTTGCAACGGGGGTCGATGGTTGCAGGCCCGTAAGGATTAGCGCCCTAACCGCGCAACTTTTGCGGCGAAGCTGGAGTGATCTAGGTAGGTAGGGACCTTACAATTTCCCCCGCGGTATCCTTCCCACAAGTCGGGCTTATACCGGGTGCCTTTAAAACACATTTCCAAAAAGCCAAGGTGTCGGTTATTGAAATGAAATGTGTATGAATGTTTACCCTAATCGGAATAGCCCACATCTTGACTATTGCTGACGTACATTTGAACTTCAGAAAATAAGATTGTTTCAGTTTCGTACCGTGAAACTGATTAGGACGGATTAGTCAAACAAAATACGCGAATCTAGACGGATTCTACCCTGTTCTGGGCTCTTAAGAACTCATGTGGTATAACCCATAACCCAGCGAAACTCATGCGAGACAGTGCAGTGCAAAATGTTCTCACCTTGAACATTCGGCCATAAATGATCGAAAACACTGGGAACGTCATACCACGGACCACCGCGAGGATAAGTGCTACGGCCAGCTGACACCATTCCTGTCTTGCATACTTTAATATGTCCAACAGACTCGCTCCTTTCACTTTTTTCTCATCAGCTTCTTCCTAAATTCCTGTACTGAAAGTTTACGGTAATCTCAAATATCGTAAGAAAAGGAAAGCAAAT